ATAAATATTGCCAATCTCATGTCCAACAGCTACCAAAATAAATAAGGCCTTGATTACTAATGACCTTCATTACCTGAGAAAGGGTTTCAATGGTATATCTTGTGGTGATATTTTATTTGTGCTCTAACAAATGAAACTTATCTGGGGATCAGAGGACAGAGATGGCCACTAGATTAGACACAGAGGCCAAACAGTGGTGGCACACACCCTTAATTCTATCACTTAGGAGGCAGAGATCCATTTAGACCTCTGTGAGTTCAAGTCCACACTGGAAACAGAGCCAGGCAGTGGTGGCACACGCCTTCAACCCCAGGACTTGACTTGAGATCTCATGCCTTTGTTTGGTAAGGACACACACCTTTAATCCCAGGAAGTGCAGACAGGAAGCAGAAAGGTATCTAAAGCATCAGAACCAGGAACTAGAAGCTTTTAAGCAGCAGTTCAGCAGAGATACTTTTGGGTGAGCACTCAGAGGCTTTCAGTCTGAGGAAACAGGATCAGCTGAGGAGTTGGCGAGGTAAGGTTGGCTGTGGCTTATGTTTCTCTGATCTTTCAGTTTTCACCCCAAAATCTGGCTCTGGGTTTTTATTAATGACTGTTTACAAATTCGTGTTACAATGCCTTATCAAAAGCTCTTGTATGAATCTCAGGCTATAACATATAGGAAACATTTTTAAAATGTAATATTTAAATAATTGCTTTTCTTTTTTTTAAATTTATTTAATAATTCTTTTTTTTTTGTTTGTTTTTTGTTTTTTGTTTTTCGAGACAGGGTTTCTCTGTGTAGCTTTGCGCCTTTCCTGGAGCTCACTTGGTAGCCCAGGCTGGCCTCGAACTCACAGAGATCCGCCTGGCTCTGCCTCCCGAGTGCTGGGATTAAAGGCGTGCGCCACCACCGCCCGGCAATAATTGCTTTTCTTATTGCCTCTAACATATATAAAATAAAAATAGTATTTGGAGAGGATGATAATGTATAGTTGTTAGTGTGGCTTAAGTTCTTTACTTTTTCTGATATAACTTTTTATATGATGAAGCTGTTTTGAAATCTGGAATGGGGTTTGGAATTAGCTTATCTCTACCAGATGAGATCATCTATGAAAGAACTAACAAACTAATTATTAAAAAGAAAGTGGAGGGAGATTAGGTAGAAAGAGGAAGGAGGAAAGAGAAAGGTGGGGCAAGCTTAGATTAAGCTATTCCATAATTGTTCGTCTGTTCCTGCTTATCTTAACGATATTCAGCACACACCTCTGCCATGTAGTTTATGTGTCTTTCACCTTTTTGTATCTAGTAGTAGAATCTAACTTACTTACTTATAATGTTTCATAAAATTAAAATTCCAAGTTTCTTTGACTAATTTCCCTAAGTCCTTCCAATTTGTTCTTTAATCAGAAGCCAATAAAGTATGGCTCAAGGATCTAATCCTGCTTGCACCTGTTATTTATAAGTGGGTGTCTTATCAATACACATCCACAATTGTTTCTTAGGACACTCGCTGTGTTTCATTTTGCCTTTCTGTGGATCCTTTTAGAAAATACCTGGGAGACATCAAGCCTCTCAGAAACTGGGCAACAAGAGATAGCTGTATCTTCAGAGCTATCCTGCTCCTTTCTTCTCAGCTAGTTCTCATGGTCATTGGCTGGCTAGAGTGGCCACTGGTCCTAAGGCTATCACATAACATGTGATGTCTAAAGCTGCTACATGGCAGCATTTCTGCTTCCTTATTATCCCATCTTGCATCAGTCCTAGAAGTAACTATTCCAAGTGTGTTCCCCGTTCATGATTTAGCAAAATTGCTCTACTTTTTAAGGTTTCACTTTAAGATTTTTTTTTTCTATTCCAGTATTCACCTTAGTTAGGATTCCAGTTGTTATGAGAAAACACCATAACCAAAAGCTAGTTGGGAAGGAAACGGTTTATTTTACTCATACTTCTACATCACTCTTTGTCAACCAAGGAAGTCAAGGCAAGAACTTAAACAGGAACCCGGGGGCAGGAGCTGATACAGAGGCCATGAAAGCGTGCCAGTTACTAGCTTCGGCCTTATTGCTTGTTCAGCCTTCTTTCTTATAGAACTCAGAGCCACTAGACCATGAATGGAACCACCAAAATAGAGTGTGCATTCGCACATAAATCACTAATTAAAAAAATGTCCTACTTCTTGTGGAGGAATTTTCTCAGTTGAGGCAAACTCCTCTCAGATAACTCTAGCTTGTGCTAAGTTGACATAAAAACTAGCCAGCACACTGAAAATGATCAGATTTCTCACTTCTATTTTAGTTTTTATCCAAGCAAGCCATCATATCCATAATTTTTTTGGCCATGTCTCTTATAGTTATAGATTTCTATTGTCCACATATCATCAATGTGTCAATTCCTTTTCCCCCCATACACCATTTCATATGTTTCTTTATCCCATTGACTCGATTTTTCACACTTATGCTTTTGCCTCAAAGTATTCCCTTGGACCACGTGCTCTGTCTAGAATACATTTAGCCAAGAGTTAGTTTCTAATTTCCCAGTAAACTCAACCCCCCAGAAAGCAGGAGCATAAACAAGACGGACGAAAACACTCCTGGAGCATACCCTCCTCCCCATCTCTGCACCTGTGTGAGGAAGACACAAAGCTCCCTTGAGAAAGTTCATGTTAAATATACTCACTGCATCATCTATCTTTAAAATATGGATCATTTCATTTATGCAACACTATATTCCCACTAATCTTTGTCTTTTAAAAAGTGGTCTTACATTTGCAGACAAATAGATGGAACTAGAAAATATCATCCTGAGTGAGGTAACCCAGGCTCAGAAGGACAAACATGGTATGTACTCACTCATAAGTGGATATTTGATGTAAAGCAAAGGATAACCAGACTACAACCCACAGCTCTAGAGAAGCTAGGTCACAGGAAGACTCTAAGAGGGATGCATGGATCACCTTGGGAAGGGGAAACAGATAAGATCTCCATGAGGAAACTGGTAATGAAGGGGGCAAGAGGGGGGGATGGGAGATGAGAACATGAGGGAACAAGATGGTCGAGCTGGGGGAGGGATGGAGTGAGAGAGCAATGAAAGAGATATTTTGATAGAGGGAGACATCACAGGGTAAGGGAGAAACCTGGTGCTAGGGAAATTCCCAGGAATCCACAAGATTGACCCCAAAGTAGACTTTTAACAATAGTGAAGAGGGTGCCTGAACTGGCCTACCCTGGTCGGATTGGTAAATACTCAACTGTCATCATAGAGCCTTCATCCAGTAACTGATGGAAGCAGATGAAGAGATCCACAGCCAAGCACTGGGCTGAGATGCAGGGGTCTAGTCGAAGAGAGGGAAGAGGGATTATATGAGCAAGGGGGATCAAGATCATGATGGGGAAACCTACAGAGACAACTCAACCAAGCTCATAGGAACTCACGAACTTTAGACCTATAGCTGTAGAACCTGCTTGGGACTGGACTAGGCCCTCTGCATAGGGGAGGCAGTTGTGTAGCTTGGTCTGTTTGAGGGGCCCCTGGCAGTGGGATCAGCATCTATCCCTGGTGCATGAGCTAGCTTTCTGGAGCCCATTACCTATGGTGGGATGCCTTGCTGAGCCTTGATGCTGAGGAGATGGCCTTGGTCCTGCCTCAACTAAATGTACCAGGTTTTGCTAACTCCCCATGGGAGGCCTTACCCTTTTGGAGGAGGGGATGGGGAGGTTGGGGGAGGGGAGATTAGGGAGGAGTGGAAGGAGGGATGTGAGGGGGATGTGTGGTTGGTATGTAAAACATGTAAAAAAATTTAAATGAAAAAATGCACTGACTAATAAAAAAAAAGAGTGGTCTTACTGGTGATAAGCCAGGCACCAAACTACAGGTAGTCTTCTGTTCTTGTTCCCTTGCATATGTGCCATAGATATATGTATGTGTCATACACCCTTAGTTCCAGTACTCCAGAGACATGGAAGGTGAGTCTCTGGGTTTGAGGTCAGCCTTGTCTACACAGTGGGTCCCAGACCAGCCAGGGCCATTTAGTGATACAATGTCCCAAAATAAATAAAATAAAACAAAGTTGATGCAGGAGAGATGGCTGTGGTTAAAAACACTAATGACTGATCTTACAGAGGACCTGGATTCAGAACCCAGACTACAAGATGTATGGTTCACAACTCTGTAATTCAGCCTCCAGGGAATCCAATGCCCTTTTCTCGCCTCCAAGGCAACTGCACTCCACATACCATCCCTGCCCCCTCACACACATACATACAATTAAAAAAATCTTAAAAAAAATAAAGCTAATGTTTTTGCCTGGACTGTTACTTTAGTTTACAATTGGAATAAGTATGTACAATATTTTGATAATGATTTATCATTCTTCCTGTCTTACAAAGCTAAAATTTTCAATTCATTCTCTTAAGCAACTGCACATTTTCTACCTCAATGACTTTTATTAATTAGCTAAGGTCTCAGCTACCAGAGCACCTCTATGCTATGATAGATAGTCACAAGCCCCCCGCCCCCAAAAAGTCATTAAAATGAATGTGTTTTGCAACATTACTTGATGAATGCCAATAACCAAATATTCTGAAAACTCTTTTCATCTATTTTAAACTTGCTTGTTTTCATCAATAAGCCAGTGTTGACCCTTTCTGCTCAGTCACCAATGTGGAACAGAATGAGAATGTTTGCTCTGTTTTCACAGCCAGAGAGGATCTGTCATGACAAGGTCTGTTAGACAGTTTCAGCTTCTTAATTCTGACCAGATTTAACCTTCTGATACGAAGGAAATTGAGAAGTGGGAGATAATCACACCAGTATAAAATTCTAGGAGACACACACACATCAGAGCAAGAATAAAGCAGCCGCATACCATCTTATAAAATTGGGCATAGCAGACCTTTTTAAGTTTAAGAGAGTGTCCCCACAAAGACCCATGTTACACCTTAAGAATTTAAATTGTGCCTAGAAGTGAGTAAGTGTTTGTTCAGGCTGCATAATTTTGTTGCCTAAATAAAGAGATCTTTAAATTAAGTGCTCAATTTATTATAAAACTAATACCATTAAAATAATGTTCTTGGGGAAAGGGTTTAAAATGTTCAGCCTCATCTTATGAGCACTTCAACTTACTTAAACAGCTTTAAATTTCCTGCAATGCCAATGATAAGACAGATTTCCTAGACATCATGAATTGAGGGGACTGAAAACAGAATCAACTTGCTTTGTCAATGGCCGATGGGAAGGGGATGGGTCACACAGAAGGAAGCACCTTTTCACTCTGATGCTAGTGACTGGGTGCCACCTCGTTGAGGAATAGCTGGAGTTTGCAATGCCAGGTCATCAGGAGCCCACTAGTCCTCAGTCGGACCCTAAGGCCTGAGGATGGTAGAGCTGTTGCTATGAAGCAGGTGTCTTCTACGTTAACCTGTGTAAGAAGAAAAAAAAATGTTGGGGGTGGGGAATAAGAATGAGGAGAAAATAACAAGAAACAGACTTCAGCTACTAGAAGTCTTGGCAGGCAGTAAAAAATGTCACTTCTCCTCTTATGGGCTCAAAAACACTGCATTTGCCAGGCTTCAAAGAGATTTTATGTTTCTTATTCCTAGTTTATTTCCCAACAATGAATTATATTTTTAGCTTGTTAAATACCATAGCAAAGATGTATGGGAAGCACACTTTAAACCTTCAGTGTTCACGAAGATAGAGATGAGGAAATTGATCTAGTTTGATTAATTGAAATGTGAGCCCACAAGCATCAACTAGTCAAACATTGAAGGGAGACATTCTGAGATGTTAGCCTACCACTGGCCTTTATACATTGAATATTCAGTCTCATTATTGCATTATAGTTCAAATAAGTTACAATTGATTGGCAGATGTAAAGATATCAAGTTTTCTGTTTTCTTCCAGAACTTTTCTTCTCCTTTTGGATGGAGGAATATCTTTTTGTAACTATCTTGGGCTTTGATCAGCTCAATGAACAGAGAAAGTAAATTTGTATTACAATGTTTTCCCATACGGGAAAGTAGAAAACGGAATAAATATTTTACCAAAAACCATTTTAGGCAGCTTAGGACGAAACTTTATTCTGGTTTGTGTTCTTCGAATAACTTCCCCACTCAACCTTGCAATGCTCCCCAAGTCAACACAATTTTAATTGGGAATTTTCCTCCCAATGATGGCAAGTATTTTAGTTCCTTGAAAGAATATGTTGTAAGTCTCTCCGCAGCATACATTGTATAAAAAGATCCAGCGCCTGGTGAAGATAAGCTTAATAGGAACATAAATAAAATTTCTTTAAAAAAAGATTTAAAAGAGATGTCCAGCTACAAATATATAATTCTAACAATTGCTGATCATTATATTAAACATAATTTAGCTATACAATTAGTTGTATGAGCAGAGAAGTGGGCTGGAAGGTAAGTTGGTGCATTTACAAAAGGAAATCGTTTTGTACCTGGACTATGGATGCACGATGCCACATCCATAGCCACAGGTTTGGGCTACCTAGACTTTGCTTGGACACTCACCAAAGAGTTTGTTTAGATGGCTAGGACTCAGCTCATTGTCTTCTGGAAAAAGAGCCACAAAACTAACATCTGAAATCAATGTGCTAAAATGCAAGTATACTACATTGGTTCTACCAAGATTACATCACAGTAGTTAGTGGCAAGGCTGGGCTTACTAGCAAGTCAGGTAGTAGTCTTTACGCTACCATTGACTGCATGGCAGCAAGGTGAGGTGTAGAAGAGGTTTGTACAAGTGACTTCACACAGTCAACAAACTTGGTATTTATTTTTAAAAATTTGTTTTTAATTGTGTGTGTGTGTGTGTGTGTGTGTGTGTGTGTGTGTGTGTGTGTGTGTGTGTGTTGGGGGTTATGTGCACATATACATGGATACCCCAAAAGACTAGAGATGTTGGGTCTCTTTGGAGCTAGTTATCGGGAGGTATGAACATCCTGACATGGGCACCGGGACCCAAATTAAAGGTCCTGTGGGAGAGCATTAGAGACTCAAGTGCCACATTTATTGTTTAATGAGTAGTGATCAGTTATTCATCTGTTCACTAAGAATAAGCATTCATACATTAGAGAATTGTTAGGAGGAACAAATGAATGAATACTAAGCACATAGCAGAGAGCCAATAGTACTTACACTAATAGTCAGCACGTAGCAATGATCATAATTCTAGTAAGTGTAAACTGATGATAAAAAAAACATACCTTTCAAGTGTTTTATATAAAACACATGTAAGACAATCATAGATAGGATTAAAGTAATATTATGACAAAAAGTTTGGAATTCTCTTTAAATATCAATATTGCTTTAATCTTGCTTATATTATTTCTCTTACATTTTACAGCCAATAAATTTTTTATTAGAAAAAGCACTATAAAATGTGTATATATACAAGCTATCCTAATTGGTTTAGGTCAGAAGTTCTCAAACAATAGTGGATAGTAATCTGAGAACTACCCAAGGCAGTTAATGAAAGTATTTATAATAACAGCAAATTGAGGGGTTGGGTAGACAGCCCAGTTGGGAAGGTGCTTGTCATGAAACTATAATGGAGACTGTATTAAGTCTCCAGCATACATATAAACTAGGTACAGTGGTGCATACCTCTAATCCCAGCTCTGAGAAAGCAGAAACAGGAGGCCCCTGAGGGCTCACTGGCCAGCCAGTTTAACCGAATCAGTGATCTCCAAATTTGGTGAGAGGCCCTGTATTTTAAAAAAAAATAAGGTAGAGAGTGACCCGAAATGCACCTGACATGGACCCTTGGACCCCTGTCCTCTATGTTCATATGCAACTACATATACCACAAATGCATACTACTCATACCAAGTTGTTATTCGCCCTTTGTAATTCATTGGGTTGGTATTTTGCTCACAGTTCAAAAGCAATAATAAGTAAAACCACTCTTGTCTTCACACAAGCCAGGGAAGTGGCACCACTACCTAACTCTAGTCGTATCACTGCACCTTGGACAAATCATGTACTTGTACTGAGGAAAGAAGCACCACTATTACTTATCTATATTATACATACACACATCTCATTGCTGTTCTGTATGGCAAAGTGACACAGGCCACGTGAGGAGCACGCCAAGGCACAACACTTGCCTTTAGTGAAAGCAGTGTATGGGAGGTAAGATAAACGTTATTTTTATCGTCCGGTTGCTTTTACTTCAAATCATACCTGTCAGAAAATGAATGATTCCTGGAATTTAAACGACTCCAGAAGACCTTGTATTGAAAAATGAATGAAGCAGTTCCTTCACTTCAAAGGAAACAACCAGTAGCCAGCACAGCTAGCAAAGAGTCATTGGACCTTTCACAAGAAAATAGAATTTCACAAAGCCTGCATGCTGCCATGAACCTCATGCATTCCCAATAGCAAATAGCTAATTATCTCTATAACACTGATGATGATAAAAATTGAGACTTTTTTTTTAGTACCGTGTAATGTAATGTCAACTTTCAAAAGAGCTGTGCCATTCAGTGAGCTGACAATCTTCAAATGGCACATGCATGTGTTGCCAGGAAAAATTTTGGGTAAACCAATAGATTTTTGCCCATTGTTGTTGAGATAAGCTCTCGTGTAGACCAGGCTGGTCTTGAACTCACTACACAGCCAAGAATAACCTCAAGCTTCTGATCCTCCTGCCTCCGCCTCCCAAGTGCTAGGATCGCAGACATGCACCACCCATCCTGGCAGCCAGTAGATTTTTACAAGAGACTTGAGAGCTCATAGCTCTGGCTTCAGATTTCACATTGCAATTAATCTTTGAAAAGCTACTAGTACTTACTAAATTTTTACACATATCATAAGAGAATCCACATTCTTCTGAGAAATTATCAAAATAAATCTTTTCCAGCTACATATTTGTGTATGACTGACTTTTCATTATATACTCCAGTCAAAACAATATATTTCAACAGATTAAGTTCTGAAGCAGAATCCAGATGTCATTTATAAAGCCTGATAATATGCCAAAATCCAAAGTAATGTGAATTCTTAGTAATATTTTTGTTTTAAAAAGCACAAGAGCTGCCCATGTTAGCCTGTATTAGATTTACGATTTTATTTTTAAATGTATTAGTAAACAGAATTAGGATTTATATTTTAATTTTTAATATACTACGTAATCAGAGTCATAACTCACAAAATAAACACCCTTGGGATGATGCATATATTAGGAATACAACAGAGCCCTACCATCAAAAGCATTGAGCCTCTCTAAAAATCAATGACGATTATTTCGTGGTGGTTTGAATGACCATGCCAAATATCCATGGGTCCTGTCATTTGAACTTGGCCTCAGTTGGTGGTGCTGTTTGGGGAAGTTTTGATGGAGGAAGTGTCTCACCAGCGGTGAACTTTGAGGTTTCCAAGACATGTGCCATTCCCAACTCACTTTCTGCTTCCTGCTTGCAGATTAAGATGTGAGCTCTCAACTTGTCCCTGCTGCCTGCCGCCGTGCCTGCCTGCTGCTACCCTTCCTGACTATTTTGCTCATGGACTCATACCATTGGAACTGTAAACACAAGCAAACCCTACCTTTTATAAACTGCTTTGGCTGTGGTATTTAATGGCAGCAATAGAAGTGTGATGAATTTTTTTTTCTGGCTTTACCTTGAGAAGCCAGGAGCTAAAAGAAGAAGAAGAAGAAGGAGGAGGAGGAGGAGGAGGAGGAAAATCCTAAGTAAGTTGATAGGGACAACATATAATGGAGGAAACACATAATAGAAATATATAATGAAGCAAAATGACAAAATTATTAGAAGTTAATAAAGTTAACAAGGCTCTTGCTAGACTGAATGACTGAAGAGCTAAAGTGGAAATTATCAAGTAGAGCATTAAGGGGACTGACACATAACTCTAGAATCTAAAAGGATAATAAAGAAATATTATACATAAATTCATTTTGACACATTTGACAGTGCAGATGAAATAGACAAATTCCTTGAATGCTTCCTGCCAAAAATTATTAAGATATGAATAGCAAACCTGAAATGTTCCACAGATAAAAATCCTGATCCAAATGGTTGCTCTGATATGGTCCATCAAGCATCTACGAAGCAATATCACTAGTCCCACATCAGTCCCTTCCAATGATAGAGAAAGAAAGGACCCTCTACTATGGCACTTAGTGGAGCTGATGTGGGGCATGAGAGGAACAATGGAAGCTTACCTGATAGGTCTAACTTGTTCTAACTGCATGAATAAGAATGGGAGAAGAACAGATATGTTAATAAAATGTCCAAGAACATTGAAATTATGATATGTCAAATGTGCCTGCCAATTCTACAAGTAGATACAGAGTCCAGATTTTTTTTTAATCAGTAGAGGGGAAGGAGCTATAAACACAAGATTTCTCAGAATATATAGTCATGATTGGTATTTCCTGGAGGTTGAATTAGACAAGAACTACCACAACACTGAATCAAGTGTACATCCAAATGGAAAAGTGGTAAAAAAGAAAGGTTGGCAAAGGAAGTTGAGATGATGTGGGCACTGAGGTGGAAGACAGCAAGGGGAATTTGTGGAGAGAAAGGCAGTGTCCTCCCACAAGCAGTGTAACATAGGGGACAGGCATCACTGAATTCATGACTGTTGACCTTGGTGTGAGCACTTTTAGAGGACTGGAGGAGCAGATTTACTGGAATGAGATACAGAGAAGATTAACTCCTTCAAAAGGTCTTCATATACAGGGAAGAAAAATAATGGTCAGTAGATTGTTGTCTGAGGGTTGAGCACAGTTTTAGGATTATGATTCAGTGGTGGGGGTAATATCTAATAGAAAGGAATGTTAGGCTAATGTAGGAGGGATGGGCAGGGATGTGGGAGCTAAGCCTGTGACAGAGCAATCAGGAAAGAAAGAGACTAGGGAGGTGGGAGGAGAGGTGTGCACAGGTCTCTAACTTGTTGAGGGAGAAGAGTGTGTTCTGGCACAGGGCTGCCTGTTTCTTTGTGCAGTACAAAAACCAGCCAGCAGACAAAAAGAAAGGACCAGGAGTAGAGCCCAAAGGCAAGCAAGCACTTTGGGGCACTGTCTCAGGACTGCAGGGCAATGCTGCATGCCCATTTGAAAAAGTACCATGAGTTTAAAATGGAACCAATTAGTCAGGTTATGTATTTCTTTTCCAACTATGTTCCATTACTTTGACTCAACCAAAGGAATACAGTAAGTTGGGGCTGTGGAACTGTCAGAACAAACATACTTTATGCAAGAAGCATAAGAGTGTTTGCAGGACCACTGCTCTCCTGGATATCCCAGTAAAACAATTGCCAAGGACTGTCCTCTTCAGGTTCAGAAGCAAAAAGTACCTTGAAAGTGATCCATTTTTTCAATGGCTGCCTTCATTTGTCCATAGCCTCCTGTTCTTTCAGAAAGGATTTCAGAATGTTAGTGGTCCCCTGCCCTGAAAATCCTACTCAGCTTTTACCTTCCCTCCCTGTGTTTTGGGCAGTCACTTGATCATGAGCTACTTACTATCTTATGCATTCCATTCCACACTGGGACACTGGAAACATCTCTCTCACCCTGCTCAAATGAAAATGTGGTGGCTACATACTTCTTGAACTTAACATAGCTTCAATCCTCTCACTGGGATTACAAGAAAAAGTTGGAACCAGTTCCCTGGTGACCGGAATCAATGTGATGCAATTTCAGACACCACAGGTTTGATAGGGGCTACAGTCTCATGACCAACCAGTTAATACTGTTGTTCTTATACACTCTACTTATCCTTTAAAAGGCTCGCTGAATGTGTCATATTATGTCTGACTTGTAAGCGAGCACGAGACAAATTCTGTGCAAGCTGATGGTCTATCTTTAGAGCTCGCTGGAGGTCTTGGCTCTCCTGCAGCTTACCAAGTGAAATGCTTCAGTGTTTCTGATGATACTGTCACCCAACATGCACATGAGCTCTGCTTAACATAGACACCTCAAAATACCATCCTGAACTCTAGATCAAAAATATCTCTCAAAAGGCAGGCATCTGTATCCCCAATTAATTTTCCTCCACTGTTTAATTTCAGCTTTCATTATTTCATTATTATTTCTTTATTAAGCACCATCTTAAGCATTGAAAATGATAACATGATTGGTATTTGTGTTATTCCCATTCTAATGGTGGAAAAACTGAGTCACGGGGAGAATAACCCTTTCAGAGTGCAGGTAAAATACTGGAGCAGCCATTCAGGAGCTTGTAATAAGTACACATCACTCCTATAGTATATTGTTCTGAAATAAGCATGAAAGGGGATCATATTAGTTAATACAATTCTCTATCTCCAATTTCCTGTCTTATAGTCAGAGTAAAAGAAATATAATCTTGTTGCATTTGTATAGTCTAAAATGACTTCTGTCTTACCTTTCAAAAATGGTTGTTCTTTTGTAACTCAGCTTAGCACAAAGAGCAGTGCACAACCTCATATCCAGTCTAGCTGACTGCTTTGTATCAGTACTATGGTGGTTTTTACTGTCGCCTGAGCTATCTTTAGTGGTTTCTTCTATATTAGAAATCAACGTTGCCTCTTGGGGAAAGAAAAAAATCAAAGCTAGGATCATAGTTACTATTTGGCTCCAGGTGTCTGAAGACTCATGACCCTGGCCTCTTGTGCCCTATGAGCTCTTCAGCCTGAGAATTCAATAATATGAATTTTATTATATAAATTTTTTATATCTCTCTGCAGGAGAGCCAAGAATTTTTCAAAGTACCTCTTCTTGAAGCCAAACAGAAAAAATAGCCAATTAAAAGTTATTAATCATAATAGTTGCAAGGATATTGTCCACAGCCCACTACTATAACACCTATAGTATACTAAATTCCACTTTTGCCCACAGACTTTTTTTTAATGCTAAAAACAGCATTAATACCTGGACTACTGGCAAATGAACTGATAATTGATAATCAAAAGAATCCAACCAACGTGTTTACTGAGTGTGAACAAGAAAGGCTGTCACATCCAGAAGTTTCAAAATAGTTTTCTTTCTTTAGAAAGTGTGTATCTTCCCAGGACAAGTGTCAAGGCTCTCACATGCCTCTGTGCGTGTCAATGGTCTCAGCTGAGTCAGAACAGAAATGACTCTGGGACTATTGTAAATGACATTTTCTGTATTTGGCAACTGTGGCAGTCTGGATGTCCTCATCACATGAAAAGGCTGACAGAACAGTCATTTTAGAATTTGCCCAGCAAGGCTATAGAAGGTAGGTGAGGTGGCACCCAGAAGATAAAAGGCAAGGTCCGGGAAGAGGGCCGTGACTGTTATCGCTCACACAGACCATTCCTCCTGCCAGTGGGATGTCAGCAGCATGTCTTTTGCTGTGAGGCGATATGTTTTGGAGATACAAGTAAGAGAATATAATTTCCATCCACTTCAGAAAGTGATAAAGCATGCACATCTAAAAATTCCATGCCAATATAAAGCCAGCCACAGATTAGCTGAACTACCTGTGGTATTGAAACCCTCTCCTCTCAAAAACGCTAACAATATTGAACACATTTAGCATCATCTTACAGACAGGAAGATGAATGATCTTATGTACGTTTTGGAAACCACCTCAGTGAACCATTATATATTAACACATCATTCCAGAAAATCTGTCTATAACCAGAGTGGCTAAAACAAAGATGGAAAGAAGCCCCTAATAGCTGGGGTAAAATATAAGCATCTCTCCCCAGTCCCACCAATGTATTGAAAAGAACACTTCTCTTGGCAATATTTTGGGGACCAGATCCTTATTTGTCTGCTCTTTACAAATTAGGAAAATGAACCAAAAAAATTTATGCAACATGGGTTTTCTAAAAGCTTATAATTAAAATTCAACACAAATTTAAATTTTGGGATTTTTTTTCCTTTTTCCTTTGGTCTGTAAAGGCAGAAATGTCTAAGATAGCAGCTATTTTTACCTACACAGTTTTGATTACATCCCATGACTATTAATAACTCTGTGGTTATCCCAAGAGGAGTCATATGAAAGGGTATAAGACGGTGATTCTCAACCTATGTTTGTCACCCCTTTGGACTTGAATGACCCTTTCACAGGGGTCACCTAAGACCATTGGAAAACACAGATATTTACATTATAATTCATAATGGTAGCAAAATTACAGTTCTGAAATGGCAATGAAATAATCTTATGGTTGCGGGTGGGGTGACCACAACATGAGGAACTGTATTACAGGGTCACAGTGTTAGGAAGGTTAAGAGCCACTGGTCTAAGGAAAAGAGAGGATTTTAACCTATAGGAGTGATTCTACCTCTTATAGAGAAATTCTTCCTGTCAGAAAAAGTTCATCAAAACTGTGTGTCTCATCTTCTTCATCTGTTCTAATTAGCAAGGTTCCCAACATAGATGTTAGCAATGCTTAATAAGAAAATAAATCGCTTTGAGATTAGAAGGGCTGGACCTCCCACATTTGCATGCTTTTTGCTCTAGGGTGCTATTCTCAGCCCTGCTCCGCTCACTTTTCAAAGGTACTTAGGGTGGGGAGAGGAGGCTCAGTGGTTAAGAGAACTTTCTATCCTTCCAGAGGACCTCAGTTTGCTTACCAGCACCCACACTGTGTCTTACAACCACCTGTAAATGTAACTGCAGGGTATCTGATGCACTTTTTTTTTGCCTCTGTGGGCACCTACACTCATGTACATATATATATATATATATATATATATCAGAATAAATAAAACATTTTTTTAAATTATTTAATATTTATTGCTATGTAACTTTTATAGCTATTTTGGCTGTCAACTTGACTACATCTGGAATTAACTAGAAGCCCCTCACCAAAAGAAAATAAAAAGCTGGGCACACGTGTGAGGTATTTTTGCTTAACTGAATCATTTAAAGTGGGAAGACACACCTTTAATCCAGATCTTTTGAGATGTCAAGACCCACCTATAATATGGGTCATATGTTCTGCTGGAAGCCTATATAAAGGACTGGAAGAAAGAAACCTTATGCTTGCTCACTGTTTTCTTGCTCTCATCTCACTAGCAAGTCCATCCTTCACTAGCATTAGAGACTACTTCTTCAGAATTCTGGCACATACTGAAGACCCACCTGAGACATCTAGCATCATGGACTGAACAACTCCTGGATTTGGGGACTTTCTGTTCATAGACAGCCATTGTTGGATTAGCTGGACCACAGCCTCTCAGTCATTCTAATACATCCCATTTCTGTATATCAACATTCATTCTATATGTTCTGTTATTCTAGAGAACCCTGACTTATATAGTAACAAAGACCATCAAAATCATACTTAAGTCTTGAATTGAATTTTTTTAATTCATGATTCATCACACATCTAAATGACATATAAGTAATGTATTGAATAAAAAGCAAACATTAAAAAATAAGCATTCTATTTTAAATAGCAAAATTGAATTAGAAAAAGTTTAAATTTTAAAAGGAAAAAGGTTCTGGTAAAATGGTTCAGTAGCTAAAGGTGCTTGCCACCAAGCCTTATGACCTGATTTAATCCTGTGGATCCACATAGTGGAAGAAGAGGCACAAAGTCTGAAAACTGTCTTCTGATCCACACATCCACCATGGCATTTGTTGGCCACATACATACACATATAAATATAAACACATATTTGGTGTTTTTTATTCATCTGTTAATATAACCATCACATATTTAGTGTTTACTCTCTATAAATCTGCTATTGTGTTTGGGTTTCATTTTAGTAATGGACCGATGAATTTAAAATCTTATTTAGGAAGCATATTTGTATAAAATTGTTTAATACTTGGAAAAAAGGTGCTAGTGTAGATGAACTGCCAGGCCACAATGAGACCGGGTGGGGAATAATCAGATAGGTTTTGACACATGAAATCCTATGCTACACCCCAGAAGACTGGTCTGTTGTATCTGGTATATTACCTTAAAAAGAAGAGTGAGGTGAAGGGAAGGAAAGTCAGGAGGGCTGGGAGGGAGGAGAAAGGGGGTATGGGGTAGGAACAAAGAGTGAGACCAGCAAAAGAAGGCTTTCCTAATTTTTTACTTAAAATACAATTATATTGTTTAAATCTGTACCCCATTTTTAACTGAATTATGTTGTTTGATGATGTCTAGTCTAGTTTCTTGAGTTATTTATATATTTTTGATATTAGCCCTCTATCAGATGTGAAGTTGGTGAAAATCTTTTCCTATTCTGTGGCTGCCATTTTGCCTGCTATTTATGGTGCCCTTTGCCTTACAAAAGCTTCTCAGTTTCATGAGGTTCCATTTATTAATTTTCGACCTTAGTGTCTGCACTATTGGGGTTCTGTTTAGGAAATTATCTCTTGTGCCAATGACTTCAAGGATATTCCCCACTTTTTTCTTCCATCAGGTTAGGTGTATCTAGCTTTATGTTGAGGTCTTTGATCAACTTGGACTTGTTTTGTATAGGGTGATAGAAATGGATCTATCTGCAGTCTTCTACATGCTGACGTCCAGTTAAACCTGCACCATTTGTTGAAGGTGCTTTCTTTTATCCATTGTGTAATTTTGGATTCTTTGTCAAAAATTAGGTATCCAAAGTTGTGTGGATTTACATTTGGGTCTTTGATTTGATTCAATTTATTATCCTGTCTTTATGCTAATTCTATGTAGTTTTTAT